AAATACAGAGACACTCATTACTAATAGGCTAATCACTAGGTGATGAAACCTTTAGCTGAAACAACTCATAAAACAAAGAAAAATAAAATAGACCCTCCATCATTTGGCAATGATGATGGTAGAGTAGGAGAGAAGGGAGCTGAGGGTGCTAAGAATGACATACCACTCATATACCCTTTATAAGCAAGAATTTATGTGGTCTCTAAATGTGAGATCTTTGCCAATTTTCATAGGACTATGGGTGAATCTGATGCTCTGTGAATTCATTATAATGAAAACATACATGACAAAATTATTTGAGAAAAGTTAGAATGCTGCTCAGCTTCCTTATTGACCCATGGCTTCCCTCTCCATGCTGGACATAAATAACATTACCTTTCAGACTGTGTTGACCTGTCCTTTTTTCTGTTTGAACTGTCCACCTGATGAGGTAGGGAATATTTACTTAAAAGTCCTTTTCTCACAATTGGGGTTGGGCAGGTAATGGTGTCACTTATTTTAAAATCCCTTAGAAATATGGCCCACTACATAGATTAATTGGGAAAGAAGTGTTGAAAGTTTGTTGAGGTTGAAATCAAACTACTGTTGCTAAAGTACTGTTTACTTTTGCATTAAGGTGGTTGCTATATAAGTAGAGAGAAGAAGACATTATGGATATATTTGGCATCTGTTTGTTATGGGGAGAAGAAGAATGAGGAGTCAAAGATGACAGCAAAATTGAGAACCTGGATGACTAGCAGGAAAAGGTGTGCATAATAGTATTGGAGAAGTTTTGAAGAGGGGTGGTTTTAGGGGTGGTTTCATCTAATGAAATCTGCAATGAAGATCATAAATCACCAATGCATGTTCATAATGTTCAACTAATTTTGTCCCCCCAGTTGAAAAAGGTTGTCTTATTCAGAGCCCACTCTCTAAAGGCACCTACCACAACCACAAGGATAGGGGAAGGAGCTGGGTTGGGGTGCAGGGGTAGTTACCAATGGTTCCTTCTTAGGAGTTAGTTTATAACTATCCTGAGGGGCCAATACCCTTCTTGGAAGAAAAAAGGTGGGTTACTTATGCAGAGGAGAGAGAGGATGGAATGAGAGAGTACTGACCACAATGTCTTGAACACAGTAGGTACTTAGTGAATGTCTGTCAAATTTAATTCACAATATGGAGTTGCATATTATGGACAACTCCTATTCTCTTTATTTTTTCATTTAATTTTTTTCAGTCAACAAGCATTTATTTTTTCTCCCTCTCCCTTCCCCCACCCCAATGGAAAAAAGAGAGCGAAAAATAAACTTTTGTTTAAAAAAAAAAGTAGTTAGCATGCATAGTAAATTCCCAAATTAGCCATGTCCAAAAAGTTATATGTTTCAATCTGCACCCTGAGTATATCACCTTTCTGGAAGGTGTTAGGTAGCTTGTTTCATCAATGGTCCTCTAGAATCATGGCTGGTCATTGTGTTGATCAGAGTTCTTAAAACTTTCAAAGTTGTTCATTTTTACAATGCTGTTATTATATTTATTGTTTTCCTGATTCTGCTCACATCATTATGTCAAGTTCATATAAGTCTTCCCAGATTTCTCTAAAACCAAACCTTATTGTTCCTTAGAGCACAACAGTCTTCCATTATATTTATATACCCCTATGCTAAATGTTGGGGATACAAATAGAAAAGTGAAATTGTTCCTGTTCTCAAGGACTTCATATTTGAATGGAGTAGACAACATATATGGAATGTTTCAGGTGCAAGTCAGATGGAAAGGTCCCCTGGTCCTTAGTGCACAGTGACAAAGCAGATGACCATGTTTCTTCCTTAATTTCCATTGATAAAATCATATCAGCTTCTAATGTTGAACCATTTGACAGTGCCTGAACTTTGATGGTGAGAATTTTCTTTTTTGGGTCATTTGCAAAAGCAGTTGCCAGGCTGAATTGTCCACAGGAGTTGCTTACCCAGATGACTTAAGGCAGCTGGGCTGGGAAAAGGACCATTTAGAGGTGGGGGACGACACTGACATTCCCAAGGTTCAGGGTCCTGGAGGGAAGTGGTACTCAAGGTGATGGTGGTGGTTGACTGGCCTGGCACAAGAGGCCTCCTATCTTTCCTTCTAGGTATCTCACAACTTTAGCTAGGTTGGCTTGCCCACCCCATATGTGGCAGTTGGTTGACAGTTGGTAGGGATGGTTGGTACCTTCTCCATTGGTGTTGCTTCCCCAGATAATGCCTGGACTGAAAGCAGGACTAGTGGCCTGGATGATCTATCACACCCAGGGCTCTGGAGATTACCTGCCTCTTGGTGACAGTTGGTCAGCAATTGGTATTGGTGAAAGAGAGAAAGGTGAGCCCATTCCCCATAATGACTGCTACCCTCAATGATCACTATGAAGGCCAAGAGTTTCCATATTCCAGTAGTGAGACCAGGAATAAAACGTTAGGTAACACTATGATTTCGGTCTCAATAGGCTTTTTGGACATCTTTTCCCCAGTTAGTCTACATAGTGGGCCACAGTTCAAAAGGAATTAGAAAAAAGATATGAGGACACTACCTTCCCAACCTTAGGCATGAGGAAAAGACTTAAGCAAACCTCCTACATCTCATCATAGTTTACACAGAGAAAGCACAGGTCTACTCAATCTGGGAGGTAATGTTTTTCACCTTTGGCATGGAGTAAGAAGCAATGGGGTAGAATGAGAAACCTGGGCAGCATTCTAGTTTTTCTCAAGCAACAATTTTACATGTGTTTTCATTACAGTGAATTCACAGAACATCAGATTCACTGATATTTCTATCCAAGTTGGCAAAGATATATTTTGGAAAGCATCACTTAAATTAATGTTCACAGAAGGTATATTAATGGTGTGACTCTTAATAACCCGTCTCCTTCTGTCCCTCTGCCATCAGCACTGCAGAAACATATTTGTATGGATGTTGTGTCCTCTTAATTGGTCTTTGTGCCTCAAGACTTTCCCCTCTCAATTCCATCCTTCACAAAAATGTCATAAATTTGGCCATGTTATCCTCTTATTCAGTAAACTCCAGGATGCCCCCCTCCCCATTGACTGTAGTATTATTTCATTTTTATCTCATCTCTTCTCATTTCTCTTTTATAATAATTTTACAAGGTACATAATTATTAGTGCAGTTGTACATGTATGTCACTTATAAAAAAGTATGTGTACACATGTTGAAGGTACACTCTCAAAAAGTTTCTAATGGTGAATGTGTATAATCAAAAAAGTTTGGAGGCCATTGCTCTAGAAAACAGGGAGCTATTAAAGGCTTTTGAGCAGGGGATCAACATAGGAAACACATTTTGGCAGCTGTGTAAAGGATGGATTGGACAGAAGGTATCCTGGTTGAGAAATTATGATAATAGTCCAGATGAGAAATGAAAGGTTTTAAACTTGGGTGATAACAGTATGAATGGGGAGGAAGGGACTGATAGAAGATATATTGTGAAAGTAAAATTGACAGGACTTGCAAATGATTGGACGTAAGTAGGGTGGGGGAAAGGGAGGGAAGGGTGAACATGAACCCACATCATGAGTTTGGTGAAGTGGAGGATGGTTGTATGAGCCATGGAGAAATTGGAAGGACAGGTCATTTTCTGTTAAATTTGAGGGACAGGCAGAACACATAAATGGAGAACACAATTAGTGGGTAGCTGGAGATGTGGAACTGAGAACTCAGATAAGACTTAGGGAGTAATCCTATAGAAGCCACAATTGAAGGCATGAGATTGAATAAGATTGTGAAGGGAGAGAATTCAGAGAAAGAAGGCACAAGAGGCTATCTCACCATTTCATCCCCACATCCTCCACTGGGGAATTAAAGTTGAAAGAACTTTGTCCCTCTGCTGAGAATTCACAATGAGCGTCTCCTCCATGGTCTTTGAATGACCGAGGTGCACCTCACTGATTGAAGAGCTCCTCCCTGCTTTTCCATACTTAAAGACAATGGGGCATAGTGGAATGACCCTTTTTCCAATTTCCTTTTTACAGCTGAGAAAAGTGAGACTGAGAGAAGTGAAGCAACTTGCCCGTCAATCACACAACGAATGTGAGAGGCAGGATTTGAACTCGTTTCCTGACTTTCAAGATCAGCGTTAAGTTCACTGCACCATGCTGACAGACTATGGGATTTAAGTCGAGAAGACCTGGATCCATCTCTTGGCTCTAGGCACTCTCTCTGGCCATCCCTCATGCCTGGAAAGCTCCTCCTCTACTTCGACTGCTGGCCTCCTTGTCTTCCTTTAAGTCTCAACTAAAATCTCACCGTATACAGGAAGCCTTCTCCAACTCCTCTTAATTCCAGTGACTTTCCTCTGTTAATTGTTTCCTATTCATCCTGTATGTAGTTTGCTTTGTACATATTTGTTTGCATGTTGTCTCTCCCATTAGATTGTAAATTCCTCGAGGGCAGGGACTGTCTTTGCTTCTTTTTATAACTCCGGAGTTTAGCACACAGCGCCTGGCATATAGTAGGCACTTAGTAAATGTTTATTGATTGATTGAAATCCGGCTTCTGACACTAGTTGTGTGTCCTGGGCAAATCTTCCTCCTTGAACCTCCATTTAACCAGGGTGATAATAAGAGGACCTATCTTCCAGGGTTGTTGGGAATATCAAATGCGATAGATCGAGTACGTAAAGCGCTTTGGGAAAATGCACAGAATGCGTTGTACAAACTTTAAAATGCTATAATAAGATGAGGAATTTGCGTATATTAACACAGCCTTCGGTGGGTTTACTGAAGCACTGGAGGAAGGGTAGGGAGAGAAGCCCCTCCCAGGACTGTCAGGACCGTGCAGAAAGAACCCATTCTCCTCACTGAGCCTAGACAGCGCTCAGAGGGCGTGGCCAAGGAGGCTGGGTCGTGGCTCTAACCTTAGAGATGCTTAGCGGAAAAGCGTACTGGGGGCGGGGCTTCCAGCAGGGCAGCCACTTGGAAGTCTCCAGGGCGGGGCTAACTGTCCCGAGGGAAGAGAGGGCGGAGACAAGGTTTCCTGTGAAGGGGAGTCCGGGGGCGGGGCCTGTCGCCTGTACTAGACATGCGCGGCGGTGGCGCCGAAGGTGGTGCAGGTAAGTGTTTGACGTTTTGGGGTCTAGTTTGTGCGCTCCAGTTGGGTCCCTTTGCTGGGCATTATTGACAGCAGTGCGGCAGAAGAGGTTTCTGGCTTGTTTAGTCCGATACCGTCTTCCTTTGAGCTTAGTGGTCACCCCGTGGAATCCGACCCTGGCGAGTGAAAGTGTCTGCCGGGGAAGGTTGGGGGGGGGGAAATGTTGAGTTCGTTTCCGGGTCGCCCTGGTGTTCTGACCTTCCGGCTTTCCCTCTCCCCCAGCGCTGACCCCGCTTCCTGCACGCCTGGGTAAACCAGGCTTTCCATTATCCCCACCCTCTTGGAGCTGATAGGAGTGTGTCTTATCCAAACTGCCCCACATTAGCGCCTGGCGACTTAACAGTCCTATTCTGTCTTGTATTTGCTCAACGATTTCCCAGTACTTAGGTTTTGTTTTGTAAAGAACTGAATATGTATTAAGAGCTTTATAAACTTGAAAATTCTGTATAGTCTGTTAGAGTGGTGGTGATGATGATGTAGTACCTAATCTCTGTAGAAGTAAGATAGCTAGGTGGAACCTCAGTTTAAATCCAGCCACATACACTAGCTGTGTGACCGTGGTTAAGTCATTTAACCTCTGTCACCCTGTTTCCTTAGCTGTAAAATGGGAAAAACAATACACCTATCTCACCGGGTTGCTGACAGGGTTGTTGAATTTCAGAAGAGATAATATTTGTAAAAAGCGCTTAGCACAGTGCCAAGCACTTTGTAGACATTATATAAATGCTTATTCCCTACGTTCCCCCCCATTCTTCATCAGCTGCAGACATTTATTAAATGCCTGTTGGATACATGGTTATGTACCCTGAGCAAATGGAAAAATACAATAAGGTCCACAACAGTTGAGCTTAGAATTTAAAATTTGTTTGTTACAAAAAACATTTGATGGGGAAGAAAGAAATCAACTATCCATTGTGACCATGGGCATGCATGTCACTTAATCTCTGTAGACCTCACAGCCCTCACCTGTAAAATGAGGGAGTAGGCCTCTGCCTGGATGACCTCTAAAATTCTTTCTTTAGCACTAAATCTATGATCCTATACACTCCATTTATATCCTACTCCAGTGCCTCATTTTGGTGTGAAAGTGACCCTGAACACTTTCTTCAAGGCTATGCCAGCTAAGCACAAACTCTGGTAATTCTAAACAAGTTGGAAAGGCTTTTGAGTACAGACACTTATAGAAGCAGCCTAAATAAGTTTGGAGAGCTTTGTCTTCCAAAGACTGACCACTAGATGATTGTTGTTTGTTGCCAAAACTAACTCCTGAAACCATCTGCTGCTAAGGTATAGAGCTTAGCATAGTGCTTGGCACATAGTAGGTAAGTGCTTAATAAAAGCTGGTTGGTTGACTGGCTAGAAGAATGTAATGTGTCTCTGTGGAGAGAATACTTATATTGCTGACAATAATTATTTTTAATATATGTGTATATATAGAGAGAGCCCTATAGATTTATATGTGTGTGGAGAGAGAGTGAGAGTGTGAGTCAGAGTCATTCTGTATTATTTGGGTAACTTTTAGAAATATTTGGAATTCTTTCCCCCTTTTCGTTCCCATGCCTCTACTCTCCAGTTTATAAAAACACTTTCCTTAGATTCCTGACATTTGCGCTTACCTTCCCTATTCACTACATCTTTTTAAGGTTCCATCGTTAAAATGTTCCAAGAGGTCTTTCTGTAATTGTAGGTCTTAGTGGATATAAGATTATGAAGTTAGCTAGTAGTGGATAAAAACCACCTCTGACTTCACTCACTTTTCCTCAGCCCTTCACTTTTTCTCCTTGTGCTTCAGTTTCTTTCTTCTTAAATGGATAATAAAGCTTAAATTGTTAGCTCCTCAGAGTAATCAGATTTGCAAAATGAGAAAAGGGAATCCAAAATAACTTTTGGAACACCTGAGAAAGATAACAAGCAAGAAGATAATCTTTCAAAAACAGGGTGTCTGATTCCCGGTACCTTGGAGGCAGCTTGTGAAAGAGATTTAGATTTTCAAAATTGAGTAAGCAAATGATAACAGTAAACTTGTTGCTACTAGCTAGAGAATTAAGAAAAACACTGCCTCTTCCTTAAAAAAACTTAAACTATGTGAAGGGCAGCACAGAATATAAAATGATCAAAATCTAATTCTAAGAAAATTTCTAGTTGTGTAGTTTTCCTTACCTTCTAGAAAAAATAAGGTGATTGAAAGAATGATTAATCTGGATCATTTCTTTGGTTTATAGGTCTTATATTTAATAATTTCTTTTTTTTCTATTCTAGTCTACCTTTCTCGTATTCCTATTTTAGCTCATTTCCGTTTGTTCAGTCCTTAGTTGGAGAAAGCTCGACTACAAGATGACATATCAATCAACCAACCAACAATTATTTAAGTGCTTACTTAATAAATACTGTGGTAGGCACTGGGACTGCAACTACAAAGAATGAAACAGTCCCTGCTCACAAATAGTTTACAATCTAGTTGGGGAAACAGCAAGTATATGTGTATATACACATACACACATATCATATATGTATGTGATGTGTGTACCATCATATGTGCAACATACATGTTTTATCGTGTGTATGCTATGTACACAAGTATATGTGTATATACTTGCATGTATATAAAATACATGTATAGCATGAATATTATAGCATAAATATAAATACACATATAGTATGAATATGAAATGAATAAATAAAAATATATATGTAGTAGTGAATATAAGGGAGTTTTGGAGGGAAGGCCTAACAATTGTGGAGATCAGAAAGGCTTCATGCAGACATTTCTTAAGGTGCAGTTTAAAAGAAGGGAGGGACTGTCTGAGGCCAAGGTAAGGAGTGAATGAATTCTAGGTGTATGGCACTGTCCGTGCAAAGTTGGTGGGGTGTTCTGTGAGGAACGGAGAGCTGGTGAGTTTGGTTGGATCACAGATTAAAGGAGTCAGTAATGCCCAGTGAGGCTAGAAAGATGAGGTTGGGGCCAGGTTGTGAAAGGCTTTAAAAGCTAAACAGAGGAACTTACATTTGATCCTACAGGCAATAGGAAGCCACTGGAGTAGGTTGAACAGGAAAATCACTTTTGCATAATAACTCTTTTTATTCATGACTATTATTAGAGTGCCTCCATTTATTTTTAACTTAATCAGAACCTTCCATACCACTCATTCATTCTCTTGTTCATTCAGAAACGTTGTCTTCCATGTAGAATGTACTGTACTAAATGGGGGGTGGAGGTGGAATATGATATATACATAATGTACAAATAAGTGCAATACCAGGTAAGTAGTAATGGAAGCAAAGGAGAGATCCAAAGTGCTCTAGGAATATTTGAGAAGTGAGAAGACACTTTTAGCTGTAGAGACTACAGAAGGCTTCTTGGAACAGATAGCACCTGAGGTGATCCTGAAAGGGTATCACAGTCTGGGAAAGACCAAATAGGAAAGAAGTACATTCCAGGCATGGGGGTTGAGCTTCATAATGCAAGGAAGTGGGGGCCAACATGTTAAGTTTGGAGAAACAGTACTCAAAACTAGAACTTCAAGCACATGAAGGGAAGCAATGTGAAATAAGGCTAGAAAGGTAAGTTGAAACCAGAAGGTGGAGATGCTTAAATTCCAGTCTCAAGAGTTTGCATTTTATGCTAAAGGCAATTGGTAGATCCTGGAGATTTTTGAGCAGGGGAATAACATGGATAGACCTGTGCCTAAGGAAAATTATTTTGGCAGGTATGTGGAAAATAATTTGGAGCTTTTCCCTTGAGCTATGATGGATTGTAAAGGGTTAAGAAAGTGGAGTTGGTACAGATAATTTCACATCCACCCACCCCAGCCCCCAGTTGAATACAAAAAGAAGAAACTGTCATAAATATGCATAGTCAAATAAGACAAAGTCCAAAAACATTTATTTCATCCTGCATTTTGAGTCTGTCACTTCTCAGGCAGAAGGTAGGCAGCATGCTTCTTCTTTGTCCTCTGAAATTAGGATTTGTCATTGCAATGATCAGAATTCTCAAGTCTTCCAAAGTTTTTTTTTTTTCCTTTATAACATTGCTATTATATAAGTTGTTCTCCTGGTTCTATTCACTTCTCTCTTCATCAGTTCACACAGGTCATCCCTGTTTTCTCTGAAATCATGTCATCATTCATATACCAAAATTTGTTTAACCATTCCCCAATAGATGGGCACCCTCCTTGTTACTAGTTTTGGTACTACAAAAAGAGCTCCTATAAATATTTTTGTACAAAGAGTCCTTTTCCTCTTGCTTTGATCTTCAAGGCTTTTTTTATTTTTTTAAGATAGGTCAGACTCATGTTTGCAGGTACCTGGGAAAAAACCAATAGATTGAGAGAGATTGAAGATGAAGATGAGGGGGAATGTTCAGATTTAGCTCAATGTCACCTTTTATAGGAGACCTTTCATGATCCTCCCACTTACTAGTATCTCCCCCCCATCTTGAAAATTACTCTGGCCGCAGCTAGGTGGCGCAGTGGATAGAGCACCAGCCCTGAAGTCAGGAGGACCTGAGTTCAAATACACCTTCAGACCAAACACTTGACACTAGCTGTGTGACCCTGGGCGAGTCACTTAACCCCAATTGCCTAAAAAAAAGAAAAAGAAAAGAAAAAAAGAAAATTACTCTGTGCATATTTGTATTTACTTAGGTATTTTTATATTATTTTCCCTAACCTTCTCCCAGAACTTTAGCTTGAGGTAAGGTAGTTTCTTTTTTAGCTTTGCATCTTCAGCACTAGCACAGTCTTTCATATAATAGATGCTTAATGATAAATACTTGTTGAATGAATGATTAGAAGACCCCACTGATTGAGGGAGTTAGCCTTGGCAAGGACAAAGGCCACATTATCCTATAAGATTGGAGCAAAGGAAGAGCAAATGAATAGAAATGTAGAGAGGTTTTGGATGTAGAGGAATGGAGAAGAGAGCACCAGATCTTTTAAATTAAGTAGGAGGTGAAGTCATCTGCCAAAAGGGAGGTGGGATTAGAGTTGGATGCTTGAAAAAAGAAGAGAGTGGTTGGGAACAATGCTGTGGGAAATGTGATGAGGGACCACTGAAGTGTGTAGATAACATCATATCTGAGAGTAGTAGTAGTTGCCCAACTTGCCAATTTGAGAAGTTGGGGGCAGCTGCTGTTTTTTTCTTCTTCTTGTCCTCCTCCTTTTCAAAAAGCTGGGACAATTTTTGTCCTATGCAGTTTTCATTTATGATTTCATGAAATATAGTTCTGAAAAAACAGGTTTTAAAAAAGCCCCACTATGTTTTAAATTGAGCTACCTTTAAACCCAGATCAGTCTGGCTTTCGTTGAATGGCCAGTAATAGCCCCCAACCTGAGCCTCTGTAGCTCTTTGTTTAGTTTGTGAGGACTTGGAATGAGTGTAAATAAGCAGTTGTTTTCTGTCCTGTCCAGAAACTCTGAAGGTCTTCCCCTCCCAGAGTGATATCTTTGTGATGGTAAATTGAGCCATCTTCTGTCTCATTTCTTACCTAGCCCTTAAGTAATTGATAAGTGGCAAAAGATATAAACAGTTTTCAAGAAACAAATTGCAAACTATTCACAGCACTAAAAATGCAAATCAGAATAACTCTGAGGCTTCACCTCATACCTACTGGATTGGCAGAAATAATAAAAGAAGAGAATAATCAAATTTGGAAGAGTGATGGAAAGAAGAGCACACTAATGCATTCTTATAGGAGTTGTGAATTGTTTCAATCATTCTGGAAAGCAATTTTGAACTATGCAAAAAAATTGATTAGCACTGTGCCTGGCACATAGGTGCTTAATAAATGTATATTGAATTGAATGTCCATGTCCTTTGACCCAGAGATTCCATTGCTAAGCATAAACCCCATTCAGTAAATCAATAGTCTTGTTATTAAATGCCTACTATGTATCAGACCCTGTACTGTGGTAGGTCAAAGACAAAAGGAAACAAAAAACAAAAAAAAAGAAACATTTAAATATGAAAAATCAACAGGTATGTGGATGCACCAAAATATTTATAGTAACACTTTTTATAGTAACAAAGGATTATAAACAAAGTAGATATCTAATCCATCAATTGAGGAATGTTTAACAAGTTTTGTATCTGAATATAATAGAATATTATTTTGCTGTAAGAAAAAAATGAATATAATGAATACAGAGAAATTTAAGAAGAGTTATACAAACTGATGGAAAATTAAGTAAGTGAAATAGGAAATAGATATACGTAGTGAAAACAATATAAATGAAAAGAACAAAAACAAATCAGTTGAAACTAAATCCTGGGAAATTGTTATTACCAAGTTTGGTCCCCAAGATACGAGAAGGCAGTTTGTCTCCTTTGCAAAGGTGGGACAGTATGGCTTTGAAAATACTGCATGTATTTTAAGTCCTTTTTGATGTGCTTTGTAAGACTTTTTTCATATGCTTCGGATATGTTGGTTAGTTTTGCTGAACTGTTTTTTTCCCCCCACCTCTTTTTTATTCCTTGTAGTAAGGGATTACCTCCTATAAATGGAAGGGAGGGGAGATACACTGGAAAATGAAGATGATGAAAAAACAAAAGATAACAAAAATTTACTGGAAAAAAAAAGAATTTATAGTGGAGTTTTAAAGTTTTAGGTTCCCATTTGGGAGGAAATCACTTCACTGATTCATGGTAAAACTTAAATATTTCTCAAATTTAAGGGAAAGCAGCCACAATTTAGAAATTACTTATATACACACTTGAAGGTTCAATGTGTTAATATAAGTTTTATTTTTGAAATTTAGGATGACTCTCCCAAATGAATCACTGGCAAAAAAGATGTTTAAAGGAATTTTAGCATTTGAACTTCTTGGAATCATTGGAGCATATTTGCTGTTTAATAAAATGAACACAAATCAAGGTAATAATTTTCTTTTATACTCTTGAAGGGTGCCTTTTAGTACTTTGAAACCCTAAATCATATCTACATTCTTTCTATAGTAGATAATTCTAGACATTTTAAGGGAAGAGAGACTAGTTTTGCTGGGAGTTTTGCCCCCAACATTGGTTGCCTTTTATGCCCCCAATTAATATGTTAAATACAGATTTACAGTATGAAGGAAAAGATTGCTTTGTTTCTAGACAGAACTTTAAGGTATACACGACAGTTGCCCAGGAGTACAGATTGGTTGGGGTAGTTTCTGAGAACGTTTTTGGGAACTGGTAGAGCCTTCTCCAGCTTCCCAGTGGAACACGGCCAGAAAGCAGGAGGGAGCATCATGGTGCTGCCAAGTACCTACTGTAGATAGGTAGGTACATTTTTGTATCTTTGTGCATCTTAAACTCTAATTACTTGGGTCATAATTATACTAAAAAGGTATTGTGAACAGCACCTAAATGTGAATTGTAGTTTAAACTTTTCGTACAGTGTATAAGTTCAGGTCTTATGACACAGAATGGATGCCAGACATGAAATCACTCCATGGCTCGTATAAAATAAATTCCTGTAAGCTGAGAGAAGGAAAACCAGTTTATCCTTAAATTCCATTTATACATTGTTTTCATCATAAATACAAACCATTATTAAAGTTTTAGGATTACATAGGGGTTTTATGAAGACACAGCAGGTGCATCTTGGAACCTATCCAAGAGTTACTGAGTTACCAAAAAGACTTTAAGAAGCCTCCTGCCCAGAAGGCTCCCGCAGTGCACCCCCACAACAGCATTGTCTTACCAGTTTGTTAAAGGTGATGAAATTCTAATTAAGCTTTCTTTTTTTCATCAGATTTCAGACATACAATGAGTAAGAGATTTCCCTTAATCTTGGAAGGTATGTTTTTCCTCATAAGTCATATGAGGATGGGTAAGTCTTCAATAAAGAACTGATGCAAGTAATCTGTAAGGATGGGTAGATTGAGAGGGAGTTCAGTGCAGAGCCTAGGCCTTGCCATCAGAAGAAACCTGGAACCCCTGGCGCTTACTAGCTGTGTGTCCATGTACATTTCACTTCACCTTTCTGAATCTCCATTTTCTTATCTGCAAAATGGGGATAATAGTAACAGTGCTATAATACCTGTCTAGGTGGTTTTTGTAGAATATATGTGTGTGTGTGTATATACACACACACACACATACATACACACATACATATGTATGTGTGTGTCTTTGTGAACTTTGCAGTACTATTGCAATTAGCAGCTTTTATTGTAGACTAAATAATAATTTCCTTGAGATAGCTAACTGGTATATATAAAATCAGCCCATAGTTTAGGTGACCTGCTTTAATTATTATGAGTGGAATAGCAACCATTCCTTTAAAGTTAACAACTGAGTAGAATCCCATTGACATATCGAAAACTCTAATTTGGTTGCTCCTGATAGGGTGAAGGGAGCTGAATTTTTCCAACAGTGCCCAAAAGGGTATTTGTAGGTTGGTAAATTGAGATATTTACCCATAGTGCTCTGCCATCATTTTAGCTTTATATTATAATTTGTATAGCATCTTTTCCCCTAAGTAATGGAATGTGGCATAGTGGGAAAAGTTACTGCACCTGGAATCAGGAGACCTGAATTCAAGTTCTGCCTCTTACAATGCAGCATTGTGACTATGAGCAAGTGACCTCACCTTTCAAAGCTTGTTTCCTTATCTGTAAAAGGAGGGCAATACTTGACTACCTACCTTATAGAGTTGTTGGAGTAAAGTGCTTTGTAAATCTTAAAGCACTATACAAATGTAATCATCACAATTGTAATTTTATTCCTTACAATTAAAGTTTTAAAATTATGAAATGTCCAGGTTCTGGACAAAGTAAATTAAACACCTCCTATCAATTTCATCTCCTTTTAGTATGTGGTCTTCTGAGTAATTTAAGTAAATGATCTGTTCACATTTTCTCCTTATAATAAAGTATAATTAACATTCATTGTAATTCCTTTTTTACATGAATTTACCATTGAAGTAGATATTCTTATTTTTAGTTTATTACAAGTCCAATGAATGGGCTGGACTCTATGGAATAAGGGAACATGATCAAGAAGATTGGTTAAACCGCAAAAATTAGAAGTAAGTTGAATTTTAAAGAAATAAATTATTGGTTATTTTTTTTTAATCCAATTTTTTTTTTTTTGCTTTTTCCCTCTGTTATGTTTTTCAGCCTCTTCAATTTGAAGTTTTCTTCTCTCTGAGTCATGAAACTGATCATCTCAGCCTCCTATGAATTGTTTTTATACTTTTGAAGAAAAAGCCAGCTTGGTTGCATAATTGCATCAAATAAAGTCTTTGACTTAAAAACATATATACACATATGTATATATATTTTTTAAATTCAAGAAGGCCAGATTCTAGTAAGGCAATTAAGATCCTTTAATATTCTGAAACCAGCTAGATGTGGCAGAAAGAAAGGAAAAATTTTCAGTGGAAGCTGTCCTGTCCTAATACATGCTTACTAGTGTAAGGGTAACATTGAGTAACTTAAAAATATCAGAAATTGTGACTACAATTAGTTTGTATATACATCAGTGTTATAGCATAGCATATGGTAAATTATGTGGTTAATAAAATAAAATCAGTAAAGTTGAAGTATTTTGTTTAATTTAGACAGAAGTAATCACTAAACAGGAGAGCCCAGCATTTTTCTATTATTGCTAACTAAATAACTGGATAATTTTTTAATCAGTCACTTAGATGGCATAAAACCAATGTTCTGTAAGTCACTAGGCATTTACTGAAAGTCTGCTGTTTTGTAGCATTATGGGGAAAGCTGATAGATATTTTTGTGGTTTTAGGATTGAAAAATTATTTCAACGTAATTACAAATTATTACAACTTTGTAAACATGTTGGTTAATTGCAAGAGTACTCTAAAAATTTTTAAAAATATTCAGTGGGAATTGCTTTCCCACTGAAGATATTAAGAAAGAGATATTAAGAGAATAAGGAAGTTTTAGACCTCAAACAGGATGAAGAAAAGGTCTTCTGAATTTGCCAAGGAAGCCATGATTGCAATTTCAGTATGGAAAGAACAGAACTCAGACTTGGGGCGGGGGGAAGGAAAGGGGTTCAAGAATGAGAGTGGCGCAGTAGATAGAGCACCAGCCCTGAAGTCAGGAGGACCTGAGTTCAAATCCGGCCTCAGACCAAACACTTGACACTTATTAGCTGTGTGACCCTGGGCAAGTCACTTAACCCCAATTGCCTTTAAAAAAAAATTAAAAAGAATGAGAGAGGAGTTGATTTACAATAAATTTATGTAATATATGAAATGGTCTCAACATGAATGAGAATGAGAGACCTGGAGATATTTAAATATAAATATGAATCAAGGGAAGGAAAAGAATGGAGGGAAACAAATGTCCTTTACTTGGCATTTCAGAAATATAAAGGGCATTTTAAAATGAGATGAGTGGGCAGAAAGAGGCACGTGAAAAATAAGATTGTCATTACTTCAGAACAAAAATACAATTAACCTTTCCACAGTTATAAGCAGAGTTGTAACTAACACAGGCAAAGTATGATGTGGGGAGGAGGGAGGGTTCACTTCCTTCCCATGGTGACCACTATTCCTTCACTGGATTTCGCAACCCTGTGATGGCATAGGGTGCCAACTGCATACTTATTGCAGGTATCCCCAAGGCCCAGGCTTTGTGATGGCCTCCAAAGCCAGGACTCTTGGAGACTGCCCTCCTAGCAGTACCCATGCTGTTCTTTGAGGTCAAAGGAATGCCATGCCTGACATCCCTCTCCTCAGCTGAATTTGTCCCAGGCCTGATTTTGATAGTTGTAGCTCTGGTTATAAATGACAAAGAACAAGGACATGCAGTTATTATTTTCTTACCTTGAAATGAAACAGCATAAGGTCAATAACTTTTTTTTAGTTGCCTTTCTTAGTACTGACCTTGGAGCTGACTTTCATTTTCTAGCTATAGTAGCTATAGAAATTTTATAAAGCAAATGCATAATTAATAAATTTTACCACCAGAAAATGAAATGATCACTTTCACCTACACCATAGGGATATTATGAATATGTGAATGTGCTTTAAATTTTTTTAACAGCATAAACTAATTTAAACCTAATGTACTATATTAAAACATTTAACATATTAGTTCTGGGTGGAATTTGGGAGAAGTTAGTTGGCTAAAATAAAAGAGCCTAAACCTCAGTTCTACTTTATTTTCTGACTTAATGGAAAAGAGTAGAGCATCATCTGAATTGATAGAAGGGCTAATGAGTACATGTGACAGAAGGAATAGAAGCTTTTTACATGGCTTACAAGCTCATAGCACCTTAGCAGGATATCATATAAAACACGCACAGAAGATGAACCGAGTTCAGGCTGAAGACAGGAAAGTCTAGTGATACTAGAGTTTAGAATAGGCTGACTAAAAAGCATTTGGAGAGGCTAATTGGATAAAAGCCCTATAAACTTTGGTAACATTAAAGCTTACAGGTCCTTATGTCCCAAGCAGTTATCCATTGACACCACCTTCTCTGCAATGCTTTCACTTTCTCCATCAAGGACATCCATGGATAGACCATTATCTTATCAGCTTCATTAAACATGATTCTCAAAGAGATAGCATCATCTAAAAATCATTGAAGTCATCTTCCTTTTCACTACCTTCCATATCCAACCTCTCATCCCTTTGAGGATTCTTAATCCTTTTTATTTCCTTTTTTTACCTTGATGAAAACAAAACAGAAATACCCCAAACCTTTTTTTTTTTTTAACCAGTAGGAAAAACCAAAGTATCAGTGGCTAGAGAACTAAAGAAAAATACATTAGTTAGCAAAGTCAAAGTCATCCTGGTCAATAGTGTTAAAAATGTCTGTTAAGAAAAGAGAGACCAGGGGCAGGTAGGTGGCTGAGTGGATAGAGCACAGGCCCTGAAGTCAGGAGGACCTGAGTTCAAATATACCCTCAGACGAAAACACTTGACACTAGCTGTGTGACCCTGGGCAAGTCACTTAACCCCAATTGCCTAAAAAAAAAAGAAAGAAAAGAGAGACCAAACAAAAGTAAGGTTATGGCAAAGAATAAAAAGATCTGAATATGTTTTATGATCATTTGTATTGAAGGCTTTTAAAGTACTTGAAATTGGTGACAAATCTACAGTAAGTATAATTAAAAGAAATGTTGAATAATGTGTACTTATACACATATAGTACTCAGTTTTATTGTCAACTAATACAAGTTTTACAGGATATCAGGATATGTTAGTCCTTTGTTCTACTCCAGAGTGTATTGGAGTTTATTTAGTTTACTACTAAAAAAAAGCACCTAGCCAAAATCAATTCAAGTGCCTTAATTAGAAGTTCTTAACTTGGGGCCATGGATAGATTTCACTGGGGTTTGTGTACATGGATGGGGAAAAAAATTAAATCTTTATTTCAATATATTTGATTTCCTTTAATCCTATGTGTTTTATTTTATGCATTTGAAAGCATTATTCTGAGAAGGGGATCCTAAGCTTCACCAGACTGCCAAAGGGGTCCATGACACAAACAAGGTTAAGAGTCTCTGGCCTAAAACATCAAATACATAAGTGATCATTTTCTTCACCCTTTATAAATGTTCCTTAAAAATTTCCCATTGCTTTGGGTTACAAGGATAATGAATTAAAATGTCAAAGTTTATTGGTACCTTTATTCAGAATGGACTATAAATGGCTATAAATACTTAAGTTTTAATCAAGAACTGAGAATTTTCATGAGATAATATTCAGTTTGGTGACATCAAATTAAGAATACTGAGTGCAGTGAATTTGTTTTTTCCTCTACCCTTTCCCATTATACAAAGACAAATCAGAAGCTTGTCATAGTTCTGGGTGGCTCTTTTTCTGGAACACATGAGATTGTTTGATATTTAAGATCTTTCCTAAACTACTGATTTTACTGATTTAATGCCTTTAGGGTCGTATCATTTTTTACCTGGCTTCATTAGCTTGGAACTTCTTTCTCCACTATGGTCCCAGAAAATTCATTATTGAGATAACTTCATCATCCTGTAAGATCTCATCAGCCTTGGGACTCTACCTCATCCCTACCCTCTGCCCCTGGGATTGAAAGATGGGACTATGAACTCCAAACCTCCATTTAAGAGGAGAGCTCAGCTCAGTGAGAAATGAGATGAGAGCTCAGCTCAGACATCTCATTTCTCACTGAGCTGCACTAGCTTGGGACTTGTCTGACTAACTTCACCATGCCCCTGAGTTACATACTTTTCCCTCCTTCCCACCCCCAACTTTTCAGCTTCTTTTTGTATTTTGTCTTCCCCCATTAGATTGTAAGCTTCTGGAGGGAAAGGGCTGTCTTTCTTTTTTTATATATGTATCCCTAGCACTTAGCACAGTGTCTGTGGCACAGAGTAGATGCTTAGTAAATGTTTAATTGATTCAAACATATGACATTTAGAGGTTTTCTTTGCTTAGATGGAGAATATTCCAAAACTCATAAAATTTTCTTTTTGACTAATATACAACACAGTTCAACAAACATTGATTAAATACCTGCTATGTGCGAAATCCATGCTAGGTACAAATGTAAAAGTGCATGACACATTGAGAGGCCCAGCTCTCAAAGAGGCTCCATGGTCATGCAGTGAAAAGAACACTGGGTTTAGAATTAGAGGATCTGCTCAGTTATTTACTGTGTGACCTCAGGAAAGTTACTTCCTCCCTCTGAGACATGGCCCAGGCAATAAAAACAAATTTGGAGAGATCACTTGAGAAATGGTGGAAAGTGAGGAGTTGGGGAGGAAGTGGCACCATAGTTGAGCCTGGAAGGAGGAGGAGCTATTGATAGATGGATAAGGGGGATGAAATCCATTCCAGGAATGGATGGGAGGGGTTAGGGTGAGACTGGGAACAGAGAATAGTTCAGTTTGGTGGGAACATAGATTAAGTGAAGAAAAGAAAAAAAAAAAGGCAAAAAGGTCATAAATTTAGGTTGGGACCAAATCATGCTTTATTTGGTGGGCTGTGGGGAGAAATGACATGATCATAATAGGACATTAGAAATATTAAGTGGTCAACAATGTAAAGGATGATTGAAGAGAATATAGCCCAAGAAGCCAAAAGACCAGTTAAGAGATTATGATATTGTTTAGGCAAAAATAAACGAGCATTTATTAAATTCTTACTGTGTGTTAGGCACTGTGCCAAGAAAAAGCAAAAATAGTCCCTGCATTAAGAAGCTCACAGCCTAATTGTAGACTGATGCAATAGGACAATTAATTTGCAAACTAACCCCATATTAATACCATGATTTTTTCTTTTTAACCAAACCCATAATTTCATTGGTGGAGGCAACTCACAGTAAGGAAATTCCTTCTACTGATAAAAGTGTTATCTGAAAGTTATAGTCAGAGAGTTGCTTGGAACACTGAGGGGTTAAGTGACTTAGCTAGCTGTGTTCACATAGCCAGTATGAGTCAGGCAGAACTTGAATCCAGTACTTCATGACCCCAAGCCAGCTTTCTATCCACAATATTAGTCTGCTTCTCATTATCAGGATATTTAAATTTAATTAGCCTTCCATTAAGTTTTTCAAAATTTAACAGCTTTTCTAAATCATTAAATTTCTTTTTAGATGATTAAAATATTTTTAAAACTATATTTTAATTGTTTGTCAAATATTTCCCAATCACATGTAAAAATAATTTTTAACATTTTTTTAATAATTTCGAGTTCCAAATTCTCTCTCCCTCCTGCCCCTCCCCCACTCCTTGAAAAGGCAAGCAACATAATATCGATTATATAAATCATTAAATTTCTAAACCAAAAATTTCAAAAGTGAAATAACACTGAGAAATGTATCATTTATGAAGAAAAAACCCATTTCCACTGATACTTGGCTTCTGTGAGGTATTCCTTAATATTTACTGTAAAATGAAAAAAGTTTTATCTTCCAGTTCATTAAAGGAAAATCATCTTATTCCTACATTGATAACACTTTTAAAGAAGTTGTAATACAGGGCAGCTAGGTGGCACAGTGGATAGAGCACCAGCCCTGGATTCAGGAGAACCTGAGTTCAAATCTGGCCTCAGACACATAACACTTACTAGCTGAGTGACCCAGGGCAAGTCACTTAACCTCATTGCCTAGCCAAAAAAAAAGAAAAAAAAAGTTGTAATACAATACCTATAATTCAGAATTCCCAAAGGCAACACTAGATACTTATCCAAATGACTTATTACATAGAATCTGAAGATGGTGGATAGGTGGGAGACCAGGGAAGGTAGGGGCGACTTTCTGGAGCTAGAAGAGAGAGGGACAACCCTCAGAGCCAGTGCAGCATAGACAGGCCACAAAACACCCTCTTTTTAGTGCCATATTTAAAGTTATGCATTACACAGCAGGAAGTATCAAGTGGTAATAAATATTAACATGATTCTCTTCCTCTTGAGTTCAGTAGAATGTAAGTGCTCTGAGGGCAAAGACTGTCATTTTTGTCTCTGTATCCTTAGCACCTAGCACAGTGCCTGGCACATAATAAGCACTTAATAAAATGCTTATTGCATTTAATTATTTAAGACAACCCATGAATCTGTGTTTTCAAAAGACAAACTATAAATTTGAAGGCATTTTCCTTGCAAATAATTCTAACTTTGATCTCTCCCCACTCCAGTCTCCCATCTGAGGTAACAACTACTATAATAAGTGTTTTTTATACAGTGCTCTGAGGCTTGAACTGGATGTCCATCTATTATCACAGTTGAGCCTACTTTGTGAAATAAGTGATACCCCATTTTTGCAGATAAAGAGACTGAGGCTCAGAATTAAATGATTCGTCCAGGATAAAATCACTAGTAAGTATCTGAGGTGAAATTTCACAAGCCCAGCTCTCCCCAAAGATTCCAGGTTCATTCTTTGTCCTACCCACTACACCGTGCTTAAGTTTGCCAGTCTTAATTTTGCAATCAGAAGGATAGTGTGTGCTAGTGTTAAATATAAAATTTGAATTCACAGGAGTTCTACTCTTCACTGAGGAAATCACCAAAGACTAACCAGAAGAGAAACTAGATCTTAAAAATGACTAAAAGAATACTTCACCTCTAAATTTAGGACACAGTCAAATTTTTCCCTTAACAAAGGCCCAGACAAAAAGGCATTAAGGTTTTAAGAAACAGAGGCAACTAGGTGGTGCAGTGGATAGAGCTCTACCTTTGGAGTCAGGAGGACCTGAGTTCAAATCTGGTCTCAGATACTTGATACCCTCTAGCTGTGTGATCCTGGGCAAGTCACTTAACGCCAATTGCCTTACCAAAAAGCAAAACAAACAAACAAAAAAAACCAAGACCAGTTTTACAAGAGTAATGTTAAACAGAAAAAGAAAAAATACCTATCATAATCAAAACAGTTCATGAGATATACTAGAGAGCAGGCTGGGCAACTCTAAAAAATCAAGGAATTAAAAGTGACCATAAACAGAATGAGAATATGAACTCATTTAAATTCAAACTTAAAAATAATTTTTAAAAACATCAATATAAAATGGCAACTTACTCTTCTTCTAGGGGGGCCAGGAATTATCTAGGATAGAATTAGAAAGCTTTGTCCAGACAGAAACAAAGAAAAGTTGGGTAGCAGATCTAGGATTATATATCCACAATACTTCAATGATTAGAAAGTTCGTGGTTAAACCATTCTTTTCTAATTATAGGGATAATGCCAGTGGCTCTTGGGTTTTAAATTAAAAAAAAAAAGGCCCCAAATACCAAAAAAAAAATATGCTATTTGGTACTTTATCTCTGGTTTGAATTGTCCAAGTTTCACAGTTGCCAGCAAGATTATGTACATCATTCATAAACTGTCTGCCTTTCCCCTTTGGCTACATTACACCACCATCAGTGTTCTTTGAAATGGAGGATTAAGTCATTGTAACATAAATACTTAATCATATGTTCATATTAACAAAGTATTAGCCATGAAAATCAAACCACTTATTTTTGAAGCCTTACCTTTTTCCTTATGTTGCTTTGGATTCTACTATGAAAACTGATCCAAAAATCTCTGCAAAATTCTGTAACTAGTCCTCTGAATACTAAATATAATTCCCATGTAACATGGAAAAAAAACAGAGCACTCAAAAATATTTAAGAATTGAATTCAAATGGCAAATTTATGCCTATGCAAAATTCTAAAAGAAATCCCAAATCAGAGTGGGTTGCATGAAAGCCAGGACTCTGGACTGAATGACACCAGCTTCCTTCTCAGAACTATGATTCTATATCTGCAAATGAGATGGAGAACATGTTAGAAATAAAATCTACTCATGATTATTTCCCAAACATGAGGCATTGTGACGGGTCTTGATATCAGATAGCAGACACATAACTAGGGCTGAGAGATTATGTTCTTTGACTTAAGTGTCAAATTAGAGGACACTAACCGAATTTGGAGTCCTTTAGTAACATAGAAACAACTGAGCTTAGCATCTAGTTTCCAAGAAAAATGGGTTAAAATAGACATTGTCATACTTTTTCCTTTCTGGACTCCCCAGTGAAGTTTGCCCTTCTCCCCTTCTAGCAATGAACTAACGTGCCTCATGACCTGCAAAACCAAGTAAAAATGTGTATGAAAAAGTTGAGTGCATATTTTATGCCTCTTGTTCCAGGCACAAAATTATTAGTTATAGCTCTGGGCCACTGGTTACATTAGTCTCTCTTACAATTTTAAAAAAAGTCTACTTATCAAATGAAAGGTTGGGTCTATCCATGGTACTAAGTGGATTCTTTTTAATTTAGGCTGATTGCTTCAGTGCAGTGTAAATATAAAGTACTTTCAAAAACCAGCTTCATTACTTTACAGACATTTTTGCATATGTTTAACCACTCAGAAAAAAACAGCAAAAAATTTTCAATATTTGGACACTAGATCCTTATCTGTGGTTTCAGCAGCATAAAGACATCCTATTGATATGTGAACTGATCAATTGCAAGGCCAAGGCTAATTCTAGAATCACATTCAAATCCAAGTATAGCAGTATATTACATAACATACACATCTATATCTGCAAATTTATATACTATATATACCCTCCAATTTGCATATAGCTATTATATATGTATGTGTGTGCATTTGTGCGCGTGTGCGTGTCTCTATAAAATGAATGTATTGGCACTGGCAGTAATGAATACATGTTGATAATTCACCCAGTTCTTAAACTTCTTAAAATATTTTCACGTCTTAATTGTGTTCTCTCTAAAATTAGACAAAAGCTCAACTGGTTGAAAAACTATCTTGAAAACCAAAGAAAGGTATGATGTCACAATTTGTATAACAAATTTTTAATCACTGAGAAAAACCACTTTCCATTATAGATGAGAAGACAGAACATTTTTATCTTGAGCTAAAGATTCCCAGGACTCTCCATGCTTTAACTTATTCCACTACCTTTTTTAAAAGATTTTTTTCAGCCATAACAATTTGTGAAGTGTGGAAGATGGCTGAGGTCTTGTGAATGGAACGCTGACACTTTCAGATACTGAAATGAAGTATTAATATTTTTATGTTGCCATGAAAGGAAGGCTGATAGTAACATCTTTCCTTCACCTGTCCCAATGCCTCCAGGTTAGTAGGCATAAGGAAAATAATGATTTTCTTATAGGAGGCAGTAAACAAATAGTCATTATTCAAATGTTGATGTTTTGCTGATGGCAAGGAAGGTTCAGTCTTGTAGTCTTGCAAGTACAAGAGTCTTATACTATCAGTTTCCAAATTCTCTGCAGCTCATAAAAGGGTTCATCGTTTAAGAACTATTGAGTTCAAACATGGTGACATTCTTCCAGCTACTAGCTAAATGTCCAGATGTTCATTCATCAGCCAAGATATATCCAGTAAAAGCAGAACTCAGTTCTCTGACTCTTCTGAAATATTAGAAAATTTCCGTCGCTTAGCTTCTCCAATTTCCCTGTTCTTGGCCCTCCTTTCTCCATACTGGAAGACAGACAAACAGTGGGGAGAAGGATAGATTTGTATGTGGAAAAAAAAGGCAGCTAATTATGTCACTAGATTTCACTGAAGTTCAGGTTGTGTTTAACACATTTAAGAAGGGAGAAATTTTTTAAAGAATTTATTTGTTCCATATTTCCAATTTTTTACTTGCAAAGAATCTATTGGTTAAAAGAGACATTTTGGACATCATTTACTTTAATGTCCTACAAGAATCACATATATCTTTTATTACAGTATCCATGATATAGATGATCATTTATTCTGAGCTTGAATATTTGTAGTTGTTCATTGTTAGAAAGCTCCTCTTTATACTAAGCTTAAATCCATCTCCTTGTTATTTACTCCCATTGCTCCTACACATGTCTTTTGGGGATATACAGGAAAACATTCTGTTCCTTGAAGATGGCTATCAGCTGTTCCACTTATGTCTTATCTTCCCCAATTCCTTTCATGGATCCTTCTATAACAGTCTCTAGCCCTTTTACCAACCTTTACATTCTGATTCCAAGTGATGGTGGTTAGTTACTTTTATCCCTATTTCAGATCAGCATTTTTATCTAGTTATTAATGCATTTTTTATTTTAAAGATTCTTAGATCATTCTCTCCTTTACTGAGGAATTAGAGAATGAGATAGCCATCTGAAACATACATAGACCTTATATGTAACTCAAAAGGTCATACGCCTTCTGCACCTGATCAGAAGTGAGGGGCCCTTGGTCATGCAGTCTTTCTGATTTTGACTTCCTGGGGGAAAGGGAAGTTCTTTGGTAGCTCCTTTTCCACCTTCCAATCTACTAAGGTGGTCTTACCTCCTTTTTCAGGCATTTCCGCATCTCACGATCAAGATCATTACAGTGACCAAAAAATTTCAGGACACTGTGCTATAAGGCAAAAAACACAAGATATTTTATTCAATAAAATGGAAAGGTCTCTACTGTACATATGTACATTTAGCTAATTCTTGTAGAATTATTATGTGATTTTCCATTCATGTGTCAACTTTATTTAAAAAAAAAAAAAAGAACCAATGTGTGAATTCATTAATATGAGGAAATCCTAACGAGGAAACTTCTATCAAGGTTTTCCTGACTCTGCAGCAAGCTCTCTATGACACCAAGATTGCCTCTGATTAATTTGATGATAGTTAATTAAAATGTCTAAATTCTTAAATAGAGCTACCTGGGCCCATGTTACCAAAAAACAAAAGGTTCTTTTTTTGGGGGGAAATGTATTAACTCTCACTTGTTAAGATTACTTTCATTAACTTATTAAAATCCTATCAAAGAGACAAGTTCTAGCTCAGGTGGGGCTTCATCCTCAACACATTCAGGGCCTTCTGCGTACTCTAGGTCTAGTGTTTCTGGAAAATATGGTAACACAATCATTTGGGTCATACTTGACCAAAGATATTTTTTAAAGTACTTCTTCAGGATAACTTTCAATGACTATCAAAATACTCTGTAATATAAAAACATAAAGGGAAAATACTAAATTCATTATTTTAGTTTGAATTGTGAATTCCAAACACAAATATATTTTATAAATCATTTGGGATTGTCCATACTATATTATCTTCCCCATTAGTACAGATAGCTATGACTATTGTAGTCAGTTAATAGGAACATCTAATATAATAATATAATTCAGTAATAATACTCAAGACTAATTTCTTTTCAAAGAAATTACATTTTTTGAATTCTTACCTTTTTGTGGCATTCTTTTAATAGATTAATTAAAATGTTACATTCCTCAGTGTGCAGGTGTGGAGATAAGTCTGGATGCATCTCTGGTGGATAGTGGACCAACACAGAAATTTTCCACCTGTTAACAAAGCAAAACCTTGAATATGTGTATATTGCAAAGGTTAATACACTTGCTTCATGGCACTGTTCTCAGTTAGCATATGTTAACTCTATCAGAATAGAAACAAATATTTAAATTCCTTAAGTGTCAAGTAGTCACCTGAATCAGAAAAAAATTCATTTCTCTGTTCCTACAATGATTCCTTCTGCCTATCAAATGTGCTTTCATAGAATTTAAGGACAAAGCTTTAAGGCAAAACACTTAAACAGTACTGATAACTTTCAGAACTACAAGAAGATAAGAATTTCTTTCAAGAAACTTGATTTACTTAATATGCTATTTTAGTTAATAATAACTAAAGAGGCTCACATCTACCTCCTTATCCCAACACACACCATTCCCCTAGGAAGCTGTGGTAAATCTTTGTAATAAACAATCAGAGCTCTTCCCTCCGACACCTGTATCCCAATGATTGTCTGAAGTTCTGAGGATGCCATCTGATTGATAAGAAACATCACTGTATCAACAAATTTCAAATTATTATTACTAAGGTGATGCTACTGTTGATTTAAAAATATCAATGAAAATTATTTAATACAGAATTATGATTTCATTTTTTTACTGCTGAATTGTGACATAGAAAACCTTTATGGGAATATGAATATTTTAAATGTTTCAGTCATTTAATCAAATCAGTTATTTTCTTTAAAATAATTATAAAATAGAAGCAATCAATGTACATATATATATATGTAAAATATATAGAGAGAAACAAAATACATGTAAAAATGTGAGCCAGGGAAATGGTGCTAAATAAAGATATACAAATAAGAAATAAAAATGAAGATACTGCAAGTCTCAAAAAAAGTAACAATGATCAGTATAAATACTGGGGCAAAGATAAGAAATAAACATTGATATAATGTTTAGAAATAAACAAAGATAAGAAATAAAATAAGAAAAAAATTGTGTGTTAATGCTCAGGTGACAAGTTTGGGATACAAGAAGTTAGGAAACAGAATTCTAAAAGCCTAAGCAGTTAAATGATGCAATGAACAGAGAACAAGACTTCCTGAATTTGAGGACGTTTACTAGCTATGTGACCCTAGGCAAATCACTTAACCTCTCTCAGCATCAGGTTCCTCATTTGTAAAATGAGAATACTAATAGCACCTACCTCACAGAGTTATTGTGTGTATGTGTGGGAAGGGGGGAGGGTCCAAATGAAATAATATGTAAAGCACTTTATATACCTTAAAGTGCTATATATAAATCCTGTTATTATTATTATTATTGTTAATATAAAAGACTTGCCTTTGGGATAGTGATTTCTTTTAATAACCATAGGGTCTTTGAAGCAGGGTGCAAACTATGGCCTGCCATCTGTTTCTGTACAACTCAAAAGCTAAGATTTTTGAATTTTAAAATAAAGATTTATTGCATTTAAAATTGTTAAAAACCATTCTCAATTCACCATGGTAGGCTTTATTTGACCCTCAGGCAATTGTGAAAATATGGCCACAGATTGTACCTGACTTATAAATTGTTCCTCCCCTACACAGTCATCTATGAGAACACCCATGCTACTTCCACAAGAACCACAGCAACATAGAAACTATGTTCAAAAAAGAGAAAAAGAAGAAGCTACGAAAAGCAAGAAATAGCTTAGGGAAGCTGACCTTTGGGAGAACAATTACAGATAGGCCAATTTAGTGGTACCTATTTTTCAAAAATATTTACCCTTTTTTATCCTCCCTACTGCCTATCCAGAATTAAGACTACTACTATTACTTACAACAGTTCACCTACAACATGGGTAAAATTAAATTGTAAGGTCCTTGAAGGCAAGGACAATGTTGTAACTTTGCATTTCAAGTGCTTAGCACAATGACTTGCATATGGTTATAAAAATTCAATTTGATACAAGTTTTATTAAGTTCCTACCATGTGCAAAGCACTATACTAGATATTGGGTACAGAGTCTTAAAAACAGTCCCTGGACTTGACAGGCTTATGTTATACTGGTGGGAAAGGGGTGGGGTGGGTGTGTATACAACAGGTATGCAAGTATGTGAGTAAACAGAGCAATCAACACAAAATAAATTTCAAGCTTTAGAGGGTGCAGTTACCTGGAGCAGAGAAAGAATTGGAAAAGCCTTGTGATAGAATTACATGCAAAATGAACCATCTCATTCTATTCCCTTCTCTCCCATTACTTTTGGAAATTTGCCCTATTCATTCTCTGATTTTTTATCATCTCCCGTTTCTCCTGGCAGCATGATACAGTGGAAAGCACACTAGACTTGAGTTTGAATACTGTCTCACTATCTATGTGGCTTTGGGTGGGTCACAACCCCTCTGAGAGCTCCAGTATCAGCATTCGTGAAGATACACACACTTGTACTTTTCAGTACTGCTCCAAGGACCAAATGAGGTAATATATGCAAAGCACTTTGCAAACCCTTAAATGTAGGAATATGTTTAAATCTCTCCCACCCTTAAGAAACCTTTACTTTAAACTGCCATGTTCTCAAACTATGATATTATTTCTCTTCCCTATAACAACTAAATTTCTAGAAACAGTAACTACATTCTTCTCTCCTGGCAACTTTCTCCCTTGACTTCCAAGATACCTTTCTCTCCTGATTCATCATCCATTTCCTATCTCCTAATCATGGGTGTGTGTCCTGGAAGGCTCTGTCCTGCACCCTCTTATCTCTCTCTTTTTTAAATGTCATCAGCTTTCATAGTAACAGACCGATGACTTCCTAATCTACATACCCACTCCTTATATCTTTTTTAAACTTCAGTTCCAAATCACCAATTGCCTGCTAGACATCCGTATATGCATGTCCCATCAACATCTCAAACTCAACATCTCCAAAATGGAACTTAATACATCTGAGAAATGATAGGCTTTAGAGAAATCTGGGAAGACTTCTATGAACTGATACAGAGTAAACATAAACTAAGAGTACAATTTATTCAGTGAGAACTTTAGGGGTGAAAAAAACAACTCTGAAAGACTTAAGATCTCTGATTAATGCAATGACAAACTATGATTACAGAAGACCAAAAAATGAAGCATGTTACCTGCTAGAGAGGTGATTTTTAAAACTGAAGAATAAGATACATCTTTTTTATTGTTCAACAGAATGGATAAACAGGAGAAAGAGAAAATAAATGCTTCTTAATTGGAAGAAACACTAGAATTAAAAAAAAAAATAGAACTCATTTTTCTCCCTAAATCTACCCCTCAACTTGACTTTCATACTTTTGTTGAGGGGCACATCATTTTCATGGCTTATAAGCCTATTACTACACATAGCCTTCCTTTATTGCCCTCTTCTTTACCCTCTAACCAGCTACCAAATCATGTAAATTCTTAACCTGGGGTCAATGAATTTAAAAAAAAATTTTTTATAACCATTTCAATGTCATTGGTTTCCTTTGTAATCCTATGTATTTTATTTGGTACATTTAAAAACATTATTCTGAGAAGGGATCTATGACACAAAACAACAGTTAAGAAGAATCCCTGCGCTATAGTATTTCTCACACATTTCCACTTTCTATTCATTTACATCACCACCATGCTAGTTCAGGTCCTCATCTTCTTTCCCTCAGAAATTAACTTAATTAGCCTCTATCCTCCATACAGCTACCAAAATAATCTGAAAGTACAACTCTGACCACATTACTTCCCTGCTCAAAAAATATCTAATGTTCTAAACTGCCTCTAGGATAAGATACAAACTTCAGACTTGCATTTGAGATGCTCAATTACATGTCTCTTCCAGCTTGAGCTCCAAATCCATCATCCGATGCTAAATTAGCTTCATTTCAGCTTTATGTCACCTGACCCCCTTTTTCATACACATTCTACCTCCCAACAAAATGGACTATTAGTAGCTGTTCCCAAAACCCAACATCCCATTTCCAAGCTCAGTGCATTCACAAATGCTGTGCTTAAGCTTGAAATGCACACTATTCTCATTTTGCCTCTACACAATTCCTACCAATTCTTTGTAACCCAGTTCCAATGCCACATCTCAAGAAGTCTTCCCGAACATTATAACCAATAACCTTCTACCTTTAATATCAAAGGGTGCTGTTGTACCTCCTCTACCAGATTGTGAAGTCTATGACAGGACAGACAAAATCTAACTAGACTTTGTAAACCTAAATCCAAACTCTAAACCTAACCCAACACTCCTAGCATAGGACAGTGTTTTGCACTTAACTGTTTGAACTTAAAAACTAGTTAAATATCTAACAGCCCCCAAAAGTCAACGATGAGAAGAAAGGCCTCCACATACACCAAGACATTTATAGTAGCATTTTTTTTGTAAATGCAAATAACTAAAAACAAAGCAGATGCCCACTGACTGAGATGTGGCTAAACAAACTGTAGTAATGAATGTAATGGGAGTATTACTGTGCTGTAAGTACAAGGTACTATATACAAACAGTTCTCACTTTACCTAAATTTGCATTAGCAAATTCGACTTAAAAGAATTCTGAAAGAAATCTACATTCCAAAAATATACCTGTGTTAACTTTACTGTACAGTACTCTGCTCTCCCCTTCCCCCCCACCCATCCCTCAGGTCTTCCCAATCCAAAAAAACCAAAAAACAACCCACAAACCAAAAAAAACCTCCAAATGGAAAAAACACTAGACGGGTCAGGGCCACCTACGTTTGAGACATCAGGCACCAAAAGAAGAGACTTTTTACACAGGGAAGTATATCCCACTGAGTGTCTGTCCTCATCCAAAGTATCCTCAGTCCTCTCCTGTCGGTGTGCAGGTCCAATCCTGTCCTTCCCCTCCCCCCAGGCAAATTCCCATTATATAGAGAGTTTTAAGCAGAGGTCTGAAGAATTTACTTACAGTAAAGCTGAAACTGATGAATACACATAACCATGGAAAGACATGAACTGATGTGAAATTAAATAAACTGAACTAAGAAAACAATATACACAAAGCCTGCAAAAATGTAAATGAAAGAACAAAAAAAAAACAGTTGGAATTGGTTGGATTCTGTGAAATTATATACTAAGCCCGGCCTCAAAAAAGATACCCATTCCACAGTTTTCTGCATAAGTAGAGGATCGTATAATCCACATTTTTTCAACATGTTGATTAGCTTTGCAGAGCTTTCTTATTTTTTAATTTTCTTATGCAGGGATTCTTAACCTGAGATCCTTGAACTTATTTTTCAAAAGATGAATGTATTTCAGTATAATTGGTTTTCTGCTACGTTTTATCTCATGCATTTGAAAAGTCTTCTGGAAAGGGTTCCACAGGCTTCAAGAGACAGCCAAGGGGGTGGGATAGGGTGGGTGAAGGAAATAAAAAGAAAGATTAAGAATCCTTTGTCATAAGGGATGCTCCCAGTGAGAGGGAAAGGACAGAGGAGTAAAGTTAGGTGATAAAAAAAATTACCAAAGTGTTCTAAAAAGCCTGTATTTATATATTTAGGATTAGTTAACTCAAATACTTAAAATAAGAGGCATCTAGGCTCAGTGCATAGAGAAATGGGACTGGATCAGGAAAACCAGACTTAAAACATTTAAGAGTTGTACGACCTAGGGCAACTCATTAACCTCGAGGTCTGCCTCAGTTTCCCGAACTGGGGTTAATAATAAATAATAAAATGCGGTTAAAATAGCACCTACTTTCCAGGGTTATCGCAAGAATATGTATGCAGCGCTTGACACACAGTAAGCGCTTAATAAGTGTTTATTCCCTTCCCCTTCCCTAACAAGTGCACAAGGGCGTGCCTCTTTTATTTATGCCAGTTTCAGAGAGCCTGAGTTCAAATGAAGCCTGGCAGGTTCTGCCCCTCAGCTCTGTGACCTTGGGCAAGTCTAATACCTTCTCTGGGCCTCAGTCTCCCCATCAGTGAGTCAGGAACGCAGGCGGAGGGGGTGGAGAACGTCTAAGATCCCTGGCAAATTTAAATCGAATACTGACGGGAGCCCGAAACCATTCCACCGAGGAAGTCCAGGGCTGAGTCTCACCTCAGGAGATGCTCCAAAGGTCGCCCGGGGAGGAAGCCCCAACCGCCAGACCCCAAAAGGCCGATCTCTCTTGGCCAACGCCGCCGCTCGGCTCTGGGTACGAGGCCGCGGTCACGCGCATGAGGGTCCCCACACCTACCCCAGGCGGCGACCTCGGCTCCCCGAGGTCAGAGAATAGCGAAGCAAGGGGGCGGGAAACAGCCCGAGGATGACGTAGTAAGGCACCAGCCAATTGAAGACCTTCTTGTCCGCGAGCACGAAACTCCTGCCAGCTAGTCCTCCTCCAGGAAAAGCCTGTCTCCCTCACGTAGGTCTCGCACTAGGCCTGGGCGGCTTTACTAGAGGCGCTGGGGAAAGTGTTGCGGCTCCCCAAGGTTCAGAAGTTCCCGTTTCTCCATAATTCATGAAGTCAAAAAACTTTGAATCTATCCAAAAAAAGAAACTACCTATATGTAGATTTTAAAGGGCCGTCTCGCTAAGTAGAAAGGAGCCGGGACCCCAGTAGTTTCTTCCACTCCCCCCAATCACAGGATGTATGGTACTTCCCAACTCCGGGTTGACGGTCGGTGGGGGCGGGCCTTTGCAGACAGCGTAAGCTCCAATTGGTGGAGTTTGAAGGCAAGTAGGACGAAGCCTGCACTGGCGCGATCGGCGAACTCGATATCCGCCGAGGAAGCGGGAGCTGCTTTAACCTAGGTAAGGCGTAGGGGGCTGGCCCTGGACACATCTGCTGTTGGTCATCAGCCGCGGTCGCAGAAGCATGTTGATCTCCGGTGGGAGGTTTGGGGCATTCGAGGTATCCAGGGACTTCTGCCTCCCTGTCACGGAGCTGTCCTTTCAGAAATGCCCTGGCTGCGCCTGGGGCGCCGATTTCTGGGCTTGCCAGGCTTAGATCTCGCTGTTCTGCTATCGTCATGGCAACAAGACAGTGCTGTCTTCTTCCTCTCCCTCACCATTCCTTTCTCCTCCCCTTTGCCCCCTACTTCGCCAGGAGAGGCTAAGTGAAGCTGCAGTGGCGGCTCTCTCCCCCTCCCCCAGGAAATTAAGGTTTCTGGGGTCCTAGCATTATAGATCAAGAGCTGGAAGGCACCTCTGATGCCATTTAGCCCAACCGTCTCATAATACAGCTTAGGTAACTGAGACCCAGGAAGGTTTGGTGGCTTGCCCTAGGTCCCTCAGGGAGTAAGTGGTAGAAACGGAATTTGAACCTAGATCCTTTGATTTTAGAGTCAGTGCTCTTTGCACTCCAAAATCCTGCCTGTCCTTTGCCTCCCCTTTGGCTCTTGCTACTTACTGTTTTGGTTTTCCTCAGAAACAGGGCAAGGCACAGTGCTAAGCTCTGGGAAAGTAAAAACGACACCCGATTGATCCAAGGACACTTAGATGAAGATGGGAATATGATACAAAGAAGCATAATAATAATAGTAATAGCTAACATTCATATAGCGCTTTAAAGTTTGCAAAGTGCTCTGCATATATTTTATTCTTATCAGTTGAGGTAAGCTAGGTAAGTGCAGCAATTGGAGCTTTGGGCTTGGAGTCAGGAAGACCTGAGTTCAAATTCAGCCTCAGACACTTGACACTTACTAGCTGTGTGACCCTGGGTAACTCACTTAACCTATGTTGCCTTCAGTTTCCTCAGCAGTAAAATGGGGATAATAATAGAACCTACCTCCCAGAGTTGTTGTGAGAATCAAATGAGATAGTGCTTAGCACAGTGCCTGACCCATAGTGCACTTAATAAATGTTTGTTCCTTCCCCTTTCCTCTCAGTAACCCTAGGAGGTAGGTGCTATTATTATCCTTATTTACAGATGAATGAAGAAACAGGTGGTTAGAAAAAAAAGGGGGGGTTAAATGACTTTCCCATCAGCACATAACTAACTAGTTAAAGCATCTGAGGCAGGATTTGAACTTGGTTCTTACAGACTCTTAAGTCTAGCACTGTTATCTATTATGTCATGTAACTGCCAACGTAAATAAAGTAAGATGAGCAAAAGAGACAGCCAGACAAAGGGTACTTTTTGAAGAAGGGGTGAAGGAACTCATCTGAGAGGAATTAGGAAGGTGGTGGCACCTAGGCTGAACCTTGAAGAAAGACAGTAATTCTGAAAAGACAAGTAATGAGGAAGGAATGCATTTCAGTGGGTGCTAAAGTTTTGGAAAAGGAAGATCAAATTCTGGAATCATTTAGCTGAAGGTCCATGAAATCAAGTATTGTGAAATGAGGCAGGAAATACCTTCCTTTAGGGTATGTGCCATTTTGGAGCTGGATCTTGTTTGTCTCAGATCCCTGTCTAAGAAGTATGTATTTTAGAGAAAAGTGGAAATTACTAAAGGCTATTTTGAGCATTGGAGTAAGGTTAAAATCTTCACTTTAGGAAGATATTTTGTCAGTTGTATGAAGGATGGATTAGAGAGTTTAGATAAGACATAACCCTTGCCGTCAGAGTATACAGTATAGTAGAAAGCAAAGAAGGAAACAAGCATTTAAATGACTGAACAACAAAAATGTGTCAAACGCTCTGCTAAATGCTGGGGATACAAATAAAGGCAAAATCAGTCAAGGAATATACATTCTTTTTTTTTAATCTTTTTTTTTTTTTTTTTTTTTGCTAGGCAATGAGGTTAAGTGACTTGCCCAGGGTCACACAGCTAGTAAGTGTCAAATGTCTAAGGTCAGATTTCAACTCAGGACCTCCTGACTCCAGAAGAATATACATTCTAATAGAGAAGACAATGTGTTTGCATATAGACAAAATATGTGTAAAGTAGATGGAAAGTAATCTGATAAGGGAAGGCATCGGCAGCAGGAGGGGGCCAGAAAGGTGTCTACAGAAGGTGGGACTTGAGCTGAGTCTTTAAGGAAGCCAGGGAAAATGGGACAGAGTAGGAAGAAGAGGAGATAACATTTTAGGGTGGGGGAGATAGCCCATGCAAAATCATAGAAATGAGTATATCATGTGAGGACCTGCAAGTAGGCCTAGGGAGTAAAACATAAGAAAACTGGAAAGGTACTATGGAAAGGGCAAAGTTGTGAAGAGCATTGCCAAATAGAGGAATTCACGTAGGGAGCCATTGAAGCTTACTGAAGGAGGTAGGTAAGGTAATGTAGTAAGGCCTACATCTTGGAAAAATAACCTTGGCAGCTAACTGGAGTTTGAGTTGGAGTTGGGAGAGGCTTGAGGCAAAGAGAGCTGTGAAGGCTGTTGAAATTGTCCGAACAAGAGATACAGAGGACCTGACTTAGGTTTGTGGTTGTGTGAAGAAAGAGAGAGATATGACAGTTGAACCTATGGGAGTTGATGAGATCACTAAATTAAGGAATAATAAATAATAATTTATAAAATAAGGAATAATAAATAATAAATAAATGATAATCAAGTAATAATTAATAAGGGTTTTTAAGCTGGGGTCTGTGAACTTGTGTTTTTAAAAAATATTTTGACAAATATTTTAATATAACTTGTTTTATACATTTAAAAACATTATTCTGAGAAGTTCATAGGTTTTGCCAGTTTGCCAAAGAGGTCCATGACACAAAAAAAAGGTTAAGAACCCTTGGTATTGAAGGAGAAAAGAAGAACACATGGGACAGATCCTTAGAGGACACCCAGGGTTAGTAGATATGATGGATGATGACAGCAAAGCCAAAAAAGGGTTCTGAGAAGGAGGGGCCAAGCAGGTAGGAGAAGAATCAAGAGAGGGCAGTGTCATGAAACCTAGATAGGAGTGAGTGTCAGTGAGGAAAAGGTGATCAATAGGCTATAGAGAGGTCAAAAAGGATGAGGACTTAGAAGCAATTCAAAGACTTTGGAGTAGGTTTAGCTGAATGATGAAATAGGAAGCCATAATGCAGAAGGCTTAGAATTGAGTGAGAGGGGAAGTGCAGGCACCTGATGTAGACAGATAGAAAAGACATGGGGTATGTGTGTAGGCAGCAGGGAAGGAGCCAGTAGGTGGCTAGGGATTCAGTGTTATCAGAAGGGAGCCAGGTCTTCAGTGAGTACTCGCAGATGGAAGGAGTTAGAAAAGAAAAGGTTTAAAATGAAAGCAAGTTTGTTAATTAGGAAGTAGGCGTTCCAGAGAGCACACAGTAGACAGTTGGGCAGATTTGTGAGGATCGGAGTGAGGGACAGAGCAGTTGAAGATGGGGAACAGGGTTTGTATATGGACAGCCACAGATTCAGAATCATTGGGATGAGGAATATTAAGAGATTGGGGGTGTGTGGGGGGAATGGGAGTATGCCACCCACTGAGGACCATTGAGGATCAGAGGTCTTCCAGGTTCATCCTTGTGACAGGCGGTGATGTGAAAGGACTATCCTGAAAATCCCAGTTGCTGAAATAGGGAAAAGCCTGTGTCATAGCAGGCAGAGAAATTAGAAATGGCCAGGATAAGTAGTGGGTAGAGAAAGTCTCTGGGAAGGACCTGGGATCAGGATTGTGGCAGGTAGGCAGGTGACTAGGATGAGGACTAGTGTACAGTGCTGGGGATGGCCATGGATGGAAGACTGTCTTTATCAAAATAGGTAAGAAATCAAAAGAAATTAATGATCTCAAAGGATCTATCTAGATATGTCTTTATACTTTATAGCAATTGATAGCCTAGGTAGATCATGGCATGGACACCAAGCACCAGTCCAATAAGAGACTTTTTTGTTATCTGACAAAGAACCTAGATAATTCAGTTCAATTCAACAAACATTATTCCAAGAACCTCGCCATTGGAAAGTTGGCCACTAGATGATGGATTCTCTTGGCCAAAGTAACTCATGAAGATTGTCCATTAAGGCATAGAATGTTTCCAGTCTGCATTGCTGGAAGAATTATGCCCACTGATGAAATATTTTTGAGTATTGAAGTATATATCTTTTATTCAAGCTTCATATTCTTTCACATATGCACCTGAGCAAAATAGGTAATACGATAGTGTGATAGAATGTCCAGTGATTCTTTGAGTGAGATTTAGGTATTTGGGAGTGAAC